AGGACATTGCTAACACTAACCCTAGGAAGAGCATTGCTTCGCAGAATCTACGACCGGATCGGAATCGCGACCCACTGGGAAGATCCGGCGAGAAATTCAGTGGGCTGTGTCTAAGGGTGGACAATGCTTATTCAGACTTCGACTAGTTGGTAATTACGACGAAGGGAAGTTCTTCCATCGAGCTGATGAGATTTCTCGGTCCTAATATTGTTGTTCGGAACTTCTATATGCATATTACCCACTTATCTAGAAAATGTCTTAAGTGAGATTCAGCATCTGTCAAATAACTTATGACGGCTACCGTCACAACTACATCGATGATGTGCTCCTTTTTATTTCGTCAAAGTCGGTAGTTTTTTTTTTTCTATTGTAATTATTCGTTATCAGTGTACTTGGGCTCGACGAGTGAATTAACCCATAGACACAGCCCACTGAGTTTCTCGCCGGATCTTCTCAGTGAGCCGTATTTCCGATCCGGTGGTAGATTCTGCGAAGCACTGCTCTTACTAGGGCCAGTGTTAGCACCATTCCAGTTTGAGCCCCGTGAGCTCACTTACCTACATGTTGGGGCGAAGCTAAAATAGCCTCTCAAGGCTATCAGCATAGGTAAGAAAAAAAACTGTACTATTTATATTTATGTATTTGTTAAATATTAACCTTGCAAGTTCATTTATATACGAAAATGATTAGTTTGCGAAATCCGACCCGTGCTAGTTCAATGTGTGTGCGTGTGTGTTGTGTGTATGTGTGTGTTGTGTGTATGAGTGTGTTGTGTGTATGTGTGTGTGAAGCTTTTTTTTTTTTCCTCAAAACTACGCAAACGTATACCAATTAATTCATTACGACTGTTCATATTTCAAATTGAGCCTTAACATTTCATCGAACACTCAAAAGGGTCCGTCACCTGATGAGTAAGACGCCCCTCTTGATATCTAAGTACTGTTGTGGTCTAATCATTATGCACCGTACGCATGCTTAGGAACGACTTCCATGATGTAATTTAAGCAAAAAAGGCGCCAAACGGATTTGAAAAAAAAATTGACTATCATCAGTGTAGCCTGGAGTCAATTAAATATGCACTATTGAGAATAACCCAAAAACTATTGAGGGGAACTTGATATTTGCTGAGTAGTAACCGTCGCTCATGGACGTCAGCAATGCCAGAGGCAGAGTCAAGCCGTTGCCTACCGTTAAGTACTCTCCACAAGCCTCGTTTGAAAAAGGACACGTCATAGCGCTCTGGAAACACCGTGGAGGGGAGCTCTTTTTTTTTCCCTACCTATGCTGATAGCCTTGAGGGGCTATTTCAGCGTAAATTTAACTAGCAGGTGAGCTCACGGGGCTCAAACCTGACGACGTTGCTAACACGAACCCTAAGAAGAGCCGTGCTTCGCAGAATCTACCACCAGATCGGAAACGCGACCCACTGGGGAGATCCGGCGAGAAACTCAGTGGGGTGTGTCTATAGGTTAATTCGCTCGTCGAGCCCTTCGTCGCAAGCGACGGGTTCGACGAGAACGATGACCGGTGCTTGTGGTACCTAAAATCACCGTTAGTGAATCGGGATGCTTTCCATTCTGTTCGCAGGATCGGGAGTTAAGGGGAGCTCATTCCAATGCCGGATGGTGCGTAGCAAAAAAGATCTCTGGAAAGGCAATCATCGCGCCACACGAGAAGCACTAGTTTTTGCCTAATACAAAAGTAACATCAAAATCGGTTCTGAGGTGAGACGCATAACAAACAACCAATCAAAACGAGAACCCGCTTGTTTTGAAGTAGGATAATAACAGCGTCGTGTTTTAAATGAGACCCCAAAAGCAGCGAATTTGGTGAACCTTCATATTTGCGACGACGAGTGTGATCTTTTTTTTTGTTTGAGAGATAGCTGATGGCCCGGAGGCCTTTTCAGTTTCACCTGGACAGGTGGGCGAGCAAGGGCTCAGCCAGGAGGAGTGGGATTTGCTAACAGCTGCCCGGGCGCCTCCAAAGGAGACCTAACAGCTCAAGAGTAACTGCTTCGCGAATGAATCTACTACCGGATCGGAATCGCGACCAGCTCAGAAGATCCCGCGAGAAACTCAGTGGGCTGATGTTTAGGTTAGATAGCACGTCGATCTCTTTGCCGAGTTCGACGAGTACGGTTAGGTGGCGAAGTTAGGCCGCCCAGGCGTTGTCCAACTTCACCATCCTTTGTTTGTTAAAGTAGGTATGTTTCTTAGGTTTCTTAGAAATAAGATTCATTCTCAGTATCCACGGATTCGTCGTTCCCAGAGTCAACCAGAATTTCCGTCGCCTTAGTATGAAGATCAAGAAGAGAAAAACGACATAATTACTCCAGTGCGCCGCGTAGGTCACCGGTGACCTACACGGCAGTCAAAGGCTTAACTAAAAAACGGAAATGCCATATTTAAAAAAAATGTACCGAATGAAAAAAAAAACAAAAAAAAAATTAATACACGTAAAAATCGAACAAACAATGTCATTATTACGTCTAGAATGTCTGAATGTCACAGGAAAAGGCGTGGCATTAGAAATGCAGACCAAAATGGCTGCCAGCCTAGTTTAAGTAGGTACACGTTTGTCAAACTATCGTTTCAACGTTAAAATCCGTTTTTTATTTATAAATAATTTACGTGTTGATTATTTACAACGACAAAAAATAGCGACCTTTTACATCAACACGTAGATTGTATTGGAATTTTAACATAATCTTTTTACTGTTTCTTGTGAACATAAAATATTTACAAGCGACATAGATAATACGCTCGGGCCAATTTAATTCACCTTTACGGATTAATATTGCGTTTTTAATGTCATTACCTACTCATTATATTTAAAAAAACATTAATATTTTTTATTTAGTTTAATTATTACGTCTTCGTAGTCTGAAGAAAATATTACACAGCCTATGGGCAACGAAAAACGTGGATTTGCATGCCGCCAACTTGGATACATAGGAAATAGGTTATGGTTTTAAAAATGAGATGCCACAAAAAATCGAGCTCTCTGTTCACTAGTTGAAGAAAGACGATGAAAACTGTCGATCAAATAGGAAACCTTTTTTCTTTTGCTTGGACTGTGCTATTATTTTTTTTAAATCGGAATTAAAATTTGAATCAAGGCGTAGCTGAATCATTGTATAGAGTATAAACTTGCTTTAATTCATGTCAACTTATGCAAGAGTTTAGGAAGAAAGCCGGCAATTGAAAACTTGCCTGTCTCAGGGTGGTTGATGACATTTACGTGATGTTGTCTCTGTGCCTTATTGGCCGATTTCAGAGGAGACGTAAGTATACTAATTAAAAAAAATTAGCTGTTATGGCCTTTGGAATTTTTTATGACAGATGAAGATGGAATCCAAACTGAATTTAAACGTTTTAGTTAGTAAGTAGGTAGGTATCTTAATTTTTAAGCTCTGCAATGCTCTGAGTGCATTCTTACGCCTGATATTCATTCAGTCCAGAAAACCTTAAAAAACTTCGTGCCCATGTGTCCGAGACGTGTGGTGATAGATTGAATCGGGTCACTCAATTGATACTAATGACACAGAGCAATAGTACACGCGCTACTGACGTAATAGTCTACAATGATTTTTAAAACAATTTCCCAAATTCAAAATGGAAGCCGTGAAACAATTTTGAATGATTGAATCAAGGACATATGTTTTTTTGTTTCAATTTCGTCCACGGATATAAATTTTGAATGTTGTTCAAAGTTTTTGTATGATAATATCCTTTGGTTTTTGTTAACTAATAGATAGATGCTTCATAGGACTAGGTAAAATATCAGTCGCACTGGTATAACCGATTCGTCTATAAAGATAGTAAAAAATAAAATAAAATAGCGGTTACCTATGTTGAAACATTACAAATACCTACTTCCGTATTGTAATCGTGAATGCAATGTATATAACATCAGTAGGTAGATTCATGACCAAATATTAATTAAAAATGAATTAACTTGAACAAGAAATGCTTGGAACGCCTACATAGAAAAATATAGATCAATTTTTACGTAAGTATGTATTGAATTGTTTTTTTTTGCTGTAAACATATAAATACATGAACTCTTCGCCAAATTGGTTTTAACAATTACCTGAGCCTACTGACCACAACATGAAAGTCGCTATCCGCGCTAAGAATATGCCAAATTATTATGCAATATCAGCTGCCATATCCTTCAAACCGTAATGCATTGTGCAAATAGGCAAGATAGTGAACCTTAAGTTTGCAATAAATCCACAACCGACTTCAAACTATTGTTATTTAAAATTGTAACAACACATACAATTCCAATAAAGGAACCTACCTACTTAGGTTTTAACATTAAAAAAAAACGTGCATAGGCACTAATCCAATATGGCCGCGGCAAGGAACGGCGTGACTCGTATGGGAAATATAAAAATGAATTTTATACATTATATTGATTCTTACTAACAACACAATTTTTTATGTGTACAAACACACACATAGGGAGAAACGTGTGCACGTAAAATACACATACGGGAAGTAACGCACACAACATGTCTTTACATAGAAAAACAGCCGTTCTCTATAACCTATCTATACATATAATAGTAAAAAACTTCAAAATAGTATGGCTTCACTTACTTTAGCGATCTACTATGCGAATATGTTTAAAATATATATAGTACAGGACCGGCATAGAGTTCAACTCTGCTTGTACGCGTTGCATTACGTCTCGTTCTCACGACCGAGCGCTTTCGAGTTTTCCCGTTTCCAACTCAAAATACGCCAAAAATGACGTCGAGGCACTGCCGTTTCGAAAACAGTGTCTCGCGTTTCATTCAGTGGACACCGCGCGCCCGCTCCTCGTTTATTATTTGGAATTTTCCGATCGACTGATTACCGCTTGTCGTAAGTTTTACAAACAAATTCGTATCCGTTTCGTATTTTTCGCAATTAGCGCCAAATACGAAAGTCTTAAGTGGCAAAGTCGATACGGTCGGGTTTCGCTCGGCAATCGAGCCAAACCGACCGATTCTAAATGAAGGGCCCGCTCGGAGTGAAACGCTTCAACGGGCCACGACACGAATCGGTCGCGCTGAACGTAGAAAATTCTGACAGCTCGGGGCTCGGGGCCGTCATATGAAAATAATGTCGTTTTTATTACATTTTTTGATAAATTATTATTCTAGTTTCGAATCGGCAGCGTACCGACGGCCTTATCGATTTTCCTATTTAGCGCGCTACCGTAATTTGTACATTTTCGAAAGGTTCGCGTCGAGTCTATGCGCTTTCGAAAAATATTTTACTTTGTATTTTCTCAGCAGCGAACGGACGTCGAGCGCGGTGCCGTAAATTGGTAATAATTCTGTTGATTACACAGTAATAAAGTGACCAAATATGGGTTAGTGGTGTGGAACATGTAATATGCGATCGTTGACTCCAGTCATACAATCGAAATGTTTGTTTGTGTTGATAGTGACTGGTGCATTCCTAACGTGAAAGTGTACGTTTGTGTTGTTTTTGTGCTGTAACGGATGCTGAAGTAAATTCAGACCAGGCGGGGACAATAAACAAGTACTGCCGCCTGCCGTGATCGGTCAATCGTGTAAGTATTAGACCATTCTAGAGTGACCTCGGAGGGCTGCACACTACAAAAAAATATACTGCACTTTAACTGCAAGAGCACAATTACCGAGCGCTAGAAATACCGTTTCAAACCTGAAATCATAAAATTTTATTAGTTCGCGACCCTAACCTATTATTAGATTTGAAAATTAAAAATATATATCTTCTAAATCAGGATCGATTTAAATGAACCATAAAATAAAACATTCCCATGCCTATAGATCATTTGAAATTGGAACTAGGGGTCATAGACCTTTTCACTATCAGCTGGGGTTTCATTTATGACATTCTGTTACAATATTCGTTCATTTTGAACTGGGTACAAGCACAGATAACTCACGACACTAATTAAAAAAAAGATTCTAAATTTAAAATGAGTTCAAAGACCTTTGCCTCTAAACTACTATTAGTACTTGTTACAAGCATTTGAAAATTATCAACTTAACTTTTTAAAACATGAAATGCTATAGTTATCCTGACATAACATGTTTTCTATGTTAAACCTCATTTATATGGATTAGCTTATTAATAATGTTATATCAGTAATAATACCTTCTAGTATTTTAGTTATAGTCCTGTTATTTTAATGTTAAAAATATAACTGAAAATTCATGACAAAATCAAATATAATCTTCTCTGAAAAAAAAAGTAGAAAAGTAGATAAATTTCTCATTAAATAAAAAAACTTTTAAATTTTTATTTATTTAAAGACATAGTTGAGTTTTATTTTAATATGTTCTATCTGATTAAAAGCTGTCTGAGTTCTTTTTTTCATCAATTTGAAAAGTTATGAAAAGTTTATTATTTTTTATAGTTACTGTATTCTGGTTTGTAGGGTAAGCCATCTACAACTAACAAATACATAATTCAATTGTTTCAAATTAAGTGACAATAATTCTAGTATTCTAAAGTTATTCTAGAAAATTAGCTAAGTGTTCTTTATTTGGGAAACCCTACAATACATCCAACATAGGATGTTAAATATGTAGGCAACGAAATTAAATAAGTTCCCACTTGACACAAGATTTGAACGAATAGTGAACTTAAAATTAAATAACTGACATTAATTAAATAATTGACAGAAACTAAAAAGGCCTCTCGAGTCCTAGCTACTGTAATAAAAATTGTATATTATTAGTCAAACTTAAATAATCTTACATAATATCTATGGTCTCACTTGGTCAGTCAAAAAAGGGATTTAATTCGGTTTTCACTCCAAAAATTCTTAGTACGTAGTTTTTAAGTATTCCATATTATACTTATTTAATGTATATTGAAGGAGGTGGAGGCGAATTATAGAGCAGTTTTCTATTAGGTCAGGAACCTTATGAAATGCCATAGTAAGCTATTCTTCTACATTCTTAAGAGAACAGCCAGTGACTTGGAACCTACCTTAATCATAGATAATTACATCATCTTGTAATCAAAAGAGATTTGAACCTTGAATGTCATAACAATTTCATTTATTCAGTAATTTACAAACACAATTGAACATATTTTATTACAATTATTATTAAATAGGTTTTATTTATGACTGAATATATACTAGCTTCATCTTTAAGATAAACACTATAATAAGTTCAAGAAAATCTTTGTTGGATATTCTAGGATACTTAATAAATAAATTTATATGCTGGCTTCATATAGTATTTTATTCGTCATTGAATTCTACATATGAGATGTGAATAGAAAAATAATATTTCTATTGTAAAAAATTAAAAATCTAAATGCTTTATGTTAGATGTATGTTTATTATTTTCATGGCCTCTGTTGTGATAACAATTCTATTGTAACTCAATTTTACACACGACAATCGCTCATGGACAACAGCAATGGCAGACACAGCCAAATCTTTGAACATTCTCCGCAAGCCTCGTTTGAAGAAGAATATGTCAAAAATCATTCTCAAAAATAACTGAATGAATTTAAGTTTATCAATCACAATGCATGATGAGGTTATTTCTGGTCAATTATTGAGTATTAGAGTCTGATCTGTTGGTTTCTTTTATTAGACTGTGACTAAAAGTTTTACTAAAAACGGGGTGTAATTTTTTGTGGTTAAACATATTGTATTTTAAGAGAAATAAAAAATGAGGTACCGTTGCGCAGGTCAGTGCAAAGCACATGGCGTTTAGTGGTTACATGAGCCCATAGACATCTACAACGTAAAGGTCGCCACTCACCTTGAGTCATGGGGCTTAAGTTTTTCAGTACACCAGCGGCCACACCCTTAAAACTGAAATTCATAACTGTTTCACTATAGAGATAGACAGGCTAGTGGTACCTACCCGCGTGTACTTACAAAAAAACCCTACCACCAGTAATTTTGGTTAATTTTCATTTTTGGGGAGCTCGATTTTTATTACACAACATTGTTCCTTCACCTTGGAAGGCATTCGTGAACATTAATTAAGTATTTCTATAAAAAATTGCCTGCGGGATTCGAATATCGGCACTTTTATTTCCCCACCTATTCGCTGGTAACCTAAGAGGCTAATCCAGCTACGCCCGATCAGGTAGGTGTGAGCTCACGGGCTCAACCTGAGAGAATTTGCTAACACTAGCCCTAGCAAGAGCATTGCTTCGCAGAATCTACCGCCGGATCGGAATTGCGACCCACTGAGAAGATCCGGCGAGAAACTCAGTGGTCTATGTCTATGGGTTAGTTCGTCGTAATCGACAAGTTTAATGAGGACGGTGACCTGTGCTTGAGAGGTCTAAACGCACCGGGAGTGAATCCGGAGGATCCGACAAGACACAATGACCAGACGGCTTTGCGTCGCCCCGTCGCGGTCCGCGAGAATCGGCACAGTCACGTCGCTCGATACAAGTGGACCGGCTTATCCTTTAGGCCACGACGACATCCGAACTACCGTCTATTCTGAAGAAGAACGTAGAAGTTACTAGAACCCTTCTAATATTGCCGATATTAGATTTAACAATGAATCATAACAAGAATCTTGTATCGTTTTGAATGATTTAAAAAAAAAAATTAGAATGTTCTCAATTCGACTGTATTTTTCTTTATTTTTGTTAGCTCAGACCTTTTTTTAGGTGCTCCGATTTTGATGATTTTTATTTAAAAGCTGGTGTTTCTAATGTGGTCCCATTTTATCGTGATCCGACTAAGTAGTCTTTGAGATAGCTTATTAATGATTTTTTAATTGACTTCGACTACACTGATTATATTCTCATTTTTATTATGTTGAAGTCGGTTTTTTATTTGTTATTCTTAGTATTCATGAAGGTAACACGGTATTTTACAACACGGTTCCCTCTAACACGAAAAGAAAAAATCCCCAAAACCCTCTTACAACATGCGGTATTTCTACAACACGATAACGAGATTTTTGTTTTAAAATCATTTACAAAGTTATATTATGCACTATGAACACCCGATATATAGGAATAACAGAAATTTTACTGCTTATTTTTTATGTATAGTAGCTAAAAAAATACATACAGGCACAGTTGAGATCTTTCATTCAGAAAAAATACTCGTCCTTTTTGTACTGGCTTCTAGTCGCATATAACACGATTTCGCACAACACGGGACTTTGTAGGCACGTATCTACCGCGTTATAGGAGGGATGGGATACCTGTACCAATAATTTGGTATTCGGATTTTGAAAGAAAAGAGGGACAACCCTGATTCTCGTAAAACGGTATACACGAATCGGCGGCACAGAACTAAAACTCGTTTAGGCAAGCCCTAGTCTTTTCTGTACGTACAAAACAGACACTGGTTTCGATTTATTTATGTTTGTGTGTGTGTGTGTGCACTAAGTTCCGTACGTGAGAGTTGGATGTCTCACAGTAAAGGTTCTATTCAATATGCTTAGTATTTATAATTCCAACTCAATCATTTCATTTTAAAATATTTAAAACGTGAAAGAAAAACTTTTTACGAAAATTGCGCGGACGGAGGAATATGAAATTTCCCACACTTAAGTATAGAGAATATAGGTAGGGAGTGCAGAAAGTTAATATTTTTAATATTTTTTTTTAATTTTGCCTAAAAAATACATTAAATCAATAAAAAAAGGCATTATACACACTACCATGTATTTGACGCACACACGCATGCATATTATTTATTGTTAAACTTTTGTTCTTCACGTCTGTGGTCAAATTGAGAATAGATTAAATATTGTTTGTCTTTTTTAATATTTTTTTATAGTGTAGCCTTGGCGAAATTTGTGATTATAGAAGTATAAAATACAATCATAATAGTGTACAAACTTACAATTTCAATTAATTATAGTCGAATTTCGACTACTGCGGGATCACTAGTTTCATTTTAAAATAAAGGATATAAGTATATACTCTTATCGATGTAACGGAAATATTTCAAAATAATATGACAATATAATATATCTTCGGAAAAAATTCTGGCCGTTTATATAGGGCGATTACATTTCAAAACGAGTTTCTCTACGGTACTGCTTTACTAGTGGTAGGACCTCTTGTGTGTCCGCGCGGGTAGGTACCACCACCCTACCTGTTTCTGTTGTGAAGCAGTAATGCGTTTCGGTTTGAAGGGTGGGGTAGCTATTGTAACTATACTGAGTCCTTAGAACTTATATCCAGGGACGTCTTAAACTAGGATGGGGCCCTTGGGCACACAAGAATTTGAGGCCCTTTTGGAAAGTAAAAAAAGCGAATTATAATAACATTTTTTTACTGAGTATGACTATTTATTATAGGTAATCAAATACAGTATGATATAATATGTCATTCATGATGTTAGAATGCTGCTGGTTTTTTGGTTACGATTTCGATAACGGTTTCTTTCGGGATTTCTGTTGAGCAAAATCTTCTATTATAGGCATAGTATATACCTTGTAAATACCTTCTGATTACTGATTTGTAAAAAAAAGTGTAACGTGCCCGAAAAAAATTTTTTGAGAGTAAACGTGTGAGAGAAATTGTCGGTCTTTCGGGGCCCCCTGAGAATGGGGGCCCTGGGCACAGGCCCCG